TGAGTTTTGAGTGGGCGCATGTCGCCAGTGTGCTGCGTACTGTTTACATGTGTGAAAAGTGTGTTTGAAAGCGAGTCTGATTGCACTTTGACCAGCCTCTGGTCTCTCATGTACGGAGGCTCAGATTGACTCACAGCCGACGGCCTAGATCTCGTACAGTTGAAGGCTTCCACTTGGACCGAATGCTGCCTGTATACCTGTGTACAGCCAAGTGTATGTGTCTGACCAGTGGCCTGGACTGGGTCCACGAAGACTTTAACTCGTGAGCCTTCTTTCGTGGACAATCGATCATCATTATGGTCGATAGTTCACTTAATGAAGGAATCTTGTGCATTGACCTTAGCGCTTAAATATCGCACTAAGTTCAAAAGAAGCACGCTGAAGAAATTTGGTCCACAGTTTCAATGTGCTGAGACGGGCGTGGTCCTATATAAACCTACTAGTTTATCGAGAACATTATCGAACGATGATTCGTGGCGGAGAGCCGTATGATGGGAAACTATCACGTGCGGTACGGAGGCAGCTGACTCCGATCAACTGTCGGGCGCAGGGCCTCTGAAGCCACATTTCAGGGGTCCTGTTCCCCACGGTCGGACGCAGGGCCTTCGGGCCGATTCGCGGCCTGCGTATAGCCCCCTTGGCCGACGTTGTAGGCATATTTGAACAGGTTATTGCACAGCCAAATCTCTCTTCGTTTTTCCTTCTTTTGTTTCTCTTTGTTTGCCACATGTGAAGGCCCTTGCTGACGGCATACTCACACAAGGACTTTCCAGAGCGTATCTGACCGTTATTGCATCCAAATCCTCTTCTTTTTTTCTGATTTCGATAGACTGTTTTGGGCCCATCAGCCTTTTCCCTCCGGACCTAAGCCTTGCCTGATCACTGTAGATTTTGCTGTGGGAATCGGTCCGAGAAAAATCCACAGCGACAACGCACTTGGGGTGGTGGTTTAAAGCCGAAGTTCCTCCAATCTCTAATTAGCCCTAACTACAGTTGCATACAAAAAGGGGAAAAAAAAAAACACTCAAACATTATCATCGTTGACATCAGCTTCAGAGGCAGGTAAATGGAAGCAATTCAGTCCGGTTAAACCACCAGTACTTGGCCCAGCTATGGGCCGCTGGCGCGCCGCATTTGAGGGGGGTCGTTCACATGAACGGCTGGTCACTGAGAATTGTGACGTAGAAAAGAAAGAACCAAAAAAAAAAAAAAAAACCTATGATGTACTGAACAGCCCTCGTTGAGGGCATACTCACACTTGCACACAGAAAAATGTATCTAACTAATTTCAGGGCCAAATTCAGGTTTCGTTTTTTTTTCCTTCTTTGAGATTCATTTCTTTGTTTTGTTTTTCGTTATTTTACTTTTGGATTCTGACAGAAACGCCACGGGGCTGATACACCCAAACTGCGACGTGCTCACATCAACACTCAGGAGAATGCATCCAACTGCATTCACATCCACAGTGTTGTTGTTTGTTTTTTTCTTTTGCTGTTTTGTTTTCCAACTGGTCCCCCCAGCCTCGGCCCGTCCAGCTACTGGTACTGCCAGGCTTGGCAGGCTCGACATACCGGTCACTGGAGGCTCGGACTTGATAGCTGGGCAAAGTACTGGTGGTTTAAGCTCAACAAGGTCACCTGAGTCAGATTCCTTGCCCAGGATGATGCATTCATCAGGCAAGCTTTGTGATCTGGCTGAGTAGTACAAGGGAGATTGGGCCAGCCTCATTTCGGGCCAAGGCCACAAATGCAAGACAAGCCCAAAGTCGGCGGGAAAACTATGCGAGATGAAGTGGGATTTCGAACAGCATTTGGCTTTCGTTCAGAAAGCTCTTGAAAGCAGATCAGAACTTCAGGGGGGACATATAACATCAAACACGTGGAACCCCCTTTAGTGCAACCGAGGTGGGAGCGACCACCTCCATCAGCCAACCTGGGCCTTAACTATCAGCCACGTCTCATGGCAGCTTAAACCACCACTCCATCCGGGCCTCTTTCGGCAAACCAAGAGCTGCATTTCCCCAAGCCTAAAATCTACACTGCCGCCGTGAGGAAAACAACTTTGGTACCCTTCCCCACCCAGCCTCTACTGCGCCAAGTAGTTTCCCCAACCTGAAATCAACGGAACCAAAGCAAATTCGTGTTTGACTCATCTACGTGGGAGTGTTTTGCAATGTTCAGTGGAACAAATACAACATAACATGGTGGTGGTTGAAACAGGGCTGAAAACTCGATTCATTTGTTTGAAACATGCTGGGCACTTTACACTGTGGCCTGGTACTTGTAGGCAATAAAGATGAACAATGCAGGGGCTGTTGGAGCAGTGGTTCAAATGCGCTGTTGCAAGTTCACACACACACCCCTCCTCTCTGCCTGCGACCAGTTACATCATCACAGACCGTACATGGACAGCCTCACCCCTCCTCTCTGGGAGTAAGATGAAACAGGTGAAAGTCGAAGGGAAAGTAAAAGGTAAGAAAGGAAACAAAGATGAAGAAGTGTCTACGTTAATCTCCTACCAGCTCCTTCCCAAGCTTGAAACGGGATAAAAATAAACCAAGGGTACGAGTGACAAAGCAACGAAAACAGCATGCACCATTACATGCTCGCCATTCTCCTCTCGCGAGCTGATAAAGAGTCATGCAACTCCTGCAGGGTCATCAAGAAACATAAGCCACTGGCAAATGTTCACATAGTCGGTGGCCACTCTACACACTGGCAAAATGAGACGGCATTTCACTGCAATTGTATGGATACTTTTAAACAAGTGATAGACTCCTTCCCAAACTTGAAATGGGAGACAAAGAGACCAACAGTAACAATGATAAAACAAGTGCAAGGAAAACAGGATGCACCATTCCATGCTCACCACGTCTCCTCTGGCGAGCTGATCGAGAGTTGATGCAACTCCTGCAGGGTCATCAAGAAACATAAGGCACTGGCAGATGTTCACATAGTCGGGTGCCTGCACACTCTGAAAGAGCTTGACAATAGTCTTCAAAACCTGTCACAGAGGCAACCAAGGCAGACAGGCCTCAGGAAAACGATGCGCCATCCCAAATGCGAATGGCCTCGAAAACAATTCCCACAATAGCCAAAAAAGTTAAAAACGTTTCAATTTCAAGCTACATATTCAACCAGAAAAATCCATGGCACCACCGGGGATCTGGCAATGAAGCAGGTAGAACTAAGAACACCGCGGATGTGCAGTGATATAGCCAACAAAAATTTTCAATTTCAACCTACACATTCAACCAGAAAAATCCATGGCACCAACGGGGATCTGGCAATGAAGCAGGGTAGAACTAAGGACACCGCGGATGTGCTGTGATCTGTAGCAAATGCACTAATAAGGCTGGACAGTGCCCAATCCCATGTGCAGCATGGAACGCATATTGCAACAAAAGAGGTGTTATGATCCTTGCTACTCTGAGTGCAATAACACAAGGAAAGACGATGCCGTTCAATTGCAAGTGAAATGAAAGAACTTGGAAAGAGGAATAGACAAACGAAGAATACAAAGGAAGAAGAAGATGTACACCACCAAAGACAAATGACAAATGCCCCTTAAGCTCGCCAACTCCCCCACTCTCGTCATTCAATAAATAACAATAACAACAAGGATAGGAGCACAGCTAGGAAAACCGGATCGCAGGTGGTGTGGGACAGTAAAGACAGAGATTCAGGGATGCAGATGATGTGGGGATAGGACGTAGAGGGAATGCCGGGCCCAGGTAGACACGGTGGGAATGGGATGAGTAAGTAATATGCGGCCAGAGGGGCTAGACTCAGACTACTGGACTGGTACCCCTAGACCTAGGCCTACCGGACTTCTAAAATTCACTCGGCCTCTAAAGGTACTAATTTTTTTCCCTTTTCTGTCGACCGCCCACTACTCAAGCACTTCCTACCTACACGGGCCTGCCCTACCTGCTATTCGAGTGTTTCGAGCCACGCTGGCCTAGCCTACCCACTACGTCCCCGCTGCAACCCCACAAACGCATGGCCACAGGTAAGTGCCAGGCTCGAGGGCCTTGGGCTATGTCCCCGCTGCAACCCCACAAA